TCGCGGACTAGTGAAGCCTTGGCTGGGTTCTTAGCGGCCCACTTTGTGCCATCCGGAGTATCTATCCAGATAAAGCAGCATTCTCTGGTATGGCCCTTGCGATGGCAGCGTGCGCATACTGTGGTTCTCCTTAATTTCAAATTAGGCCCATGGGCAAGGGTGACAACTGGTTCCATCGGCGAATCATCACGTTTGGAGTTCTCTTGCGTAGAACGCAACGAGTTTACTGCATCCGAGAAAGTCAGAAACTTATCTAACTTGAGAACCGTCACCGATCCACTGTATCGTCCATCGCAGCAACCGTCAAAATAATTTAAAAGGCGATTTTTCTTTGCAATGTCGGAAGGACGTTGTAATGGGTCGACGGAGGCTATACAAGACTGTAACTCTATGATTTTAAAAGCGAATAGGTCCACCTCCGTCCCTTCATCCATAGAAAGACCCCGGAATTCTTTGAGGAGGGTGTCAACGTCTACTTCGGCCTTCGGTTGGTAAAAATTGCACAGTTTCCCACATGTCTCTGGCAGTCTCCTTCGATTCTATGAGGTAATAAAATTCCTCAGTAACTAGCTGTAATATTACTGACCGATCCCTAGCGTCATATTTTATATATGAACTCCTCGTTTCTTTGTAATTAGTATCCTCTGTTGTTAGTAAAGTTGACGCTTCAGCCTTAGTAAGCTCTAGTATTCTTCGAAGGATATACTGTACTCCCCCAAGACCAATCATGCAAGTCTCGAACATTTTGCGCAATCTTCTGAATGTGGCTCTGCAAAGTTGAGGTGCATTTTTCACCGATGTAACTATATCGGCTGTAGACATTATTAAATATAAAAACGAGATAAAAAATAATCCAAAAAGTGTTACGACAAAATTACGACACAAGTAGGGAAGAAACTTTCTTGGTCGATGGTTGAATAGAATATTGACGATTAATAATTGAACAGAAATAATAGCTCAGTTGTCTAGAGCATTGGTCTCATAATCTGTTGGAAAATATACTCTGAACGATATTATATGGATATATGTGATTAAGTCTTCTTTACTTCATCACATATATCCATATAATATCGTACAGAGTATATTTTCCAACAGAGCGTAGGAGTTCCTCTAAAAAGAACCTATGGAAGAATGACAGGGTGTATGCAGACTCTATACCGAACTCTTCAGTAGCCCACAATTGATCGGAATTTAAACTGCCATCTCTTCTGTAAGAGCCTACTTCATCTGCATGCTGATCTAGCTCCGGGGATTGTAGCTCTTTTCATTTCATGGATAGCTGTAGTGATTCTGTTTATTATGAGGTATATTGTTATGTAAATAGCCGACATTTATTTATATGTATATATCAGGGCTATTCGGCTGAATATTGGCAGGCTAATTCTCATTCCGCCATCCTCCCTTGAGGACGAGGTCCTGTAGCTGTTCTCGTCGGTGTATTCGAGGGAATTTCGGTCGATATGCATGGTGTGGGAATTATTTCTGTTCTTCCACTGTATGGAGATAGGTTGCCATATCTTGCGAGACCTCCAATATTGAGCTCAAATTTAGTTCGCTCTGGCCGCCTCAACTCTTCTAACCTTTGCTGCCCTCGGGAAAGATTAGCCTGTTTATTTTTCCCTACAGTATACCTCTAACACCCTTTTTTACCAATAAGTGCCTTATGCCGAGAGTTTGACTGCAGCTCGAGTTAATTAAATTGGAATGTAAGGCTGTGAAGTAGCTTCCAACTTGGCTAGAGCCCCTGAAATCCGCTGTGGCGTCCCTAGATTTCGGTAGTTTTGAGAGAGATGTAGTGGAATCGAGAAGTTTTACATCTGTATCTTTCCTAGATGTCTCCCTGGAAGAAAATATGTAGCGGAGTGAAAGAGTTATCAGCTTTAGGCTAGGGATGACACCACGAAACGATGATAGAGCAATGTGGTAGTTTTCATTTTTCAAACCTCATATGAAGAGGCTCACTATTCTAAAGACTCCAGAGGTATCCATCCAATATCGGCCAGAGTACTTATTAGTATCATGATTTGGGAGTGTACACTTGTGCCGGAACATTTAACATAGTTTGCGGAGAGATATCTTTGTTAATGTGCAGAAGTGAAGTGACTGTAATCATTATTATGATACAGATTGGGGGAAGCTCGTCCCTTATTCCCTAGCTTGTTCGCTTGTAGACCAATCACGTAACCAGTATGCAGCTCACCAAAGTGTGCAACCAATTGAGCAGCCATGCCATTAGTCCTATATCAACAACCCATCTCTCGTACTGTACACATTATTACCTGTAATGTCGTTGTGTAGAGACTGGATCTCCTTCATGCGCTATAATGATATACTGCCATAATAACTGCCTATGCACCAGATAGTAGATCTACCATACTACATAGCTGAGCACAACTGTTAGCGCCTTTGCACACACAGGTGGTGTGATCCGGGTGGTGGAAGTATCCTTAATTTGTGCAAGCATGTTCATGACGAAAATTATCCATTTGTTTTCCAATATTCCTCGTTTCCTTTCTGGGTGAATCTTTCTTTGTCCTCAAGGCATTAAAAATTGCGCCTGTACTCTATTCTGGTTCTAGGTGGCTGAGTGATGCAAGGAAAGCGGGTCTAAGTGTTAAGATTATGAGCACATACGGGTTGAATCTCTACCTTGGAAGGATGCTATATGTGTTCGTAGAACACCAACGTAGATATAGAAAAGACTTGTGTTAACTGAGGAACGCTTGTATTCAGATGACTTTTGCTTGCTCCTACTACCAGGAGATACATCTCATAATACACATGTCCTGGATAGCCATATCACAGTTCCTACACTATCTAGTACATTCCATTCCATTCTACTCTATACTATTCGATCCCATACCATTCCATTACAACTCTATGATGCCCTAATTATTGGTTGCCCTCAAGTCCATGTCCTTGGACTTCCATGAAATATTGGCATGCATAAATCTGCATTGATCTGGGATCTCTTGGCAGATTATAACACTAAGCTTCAACTGAGCAGATAGACAGTTACTTGGAGGAAGTGCAGTGATACTTCACGAGTTTCTTTTGTCTTCTATGGACCTAGAGGGCGTTAGAGACTGTCAAGAATTTCTGGGAGGAAATATCTCGGAGGACAAGTGTACGATCTCGGACAAGACTCTGTTGATAGTTGTATAGGATATCGAACTCTTTTTCCAATTTGAATTAATAATATATAATATTCTGTTAACATAGTTTAACATAGTTTAACATATACAAGTAAGTTTATCCTTAAATACAGATCCCCGAGGCTTTAGTGATCCCAAATTCCAAGTGATCTGGCAACAACTAGCCACTCGATTGTCGCAACGTAGCATTTCCTAGCCACTGCATTTCAGATACCACTGAACCTCATGTCGCCTAGTTTGTGTTTTTTTATTGTGCTACTTGAGTCTATGACTATCTAGCACATTGGGCTCCTCTCTGACCCAGGCCACACCTTGTACAGTGCTCCTATCCTCTTTTGTTACTTGAAAGATCATTGATATATTCCCCTTGATGAATAGCCATTCAGCTCAGTGTTTACCCGTGGAACTCGGCTGCCTTTTCCAAGGAACCTTCTACCCAGAAAAAAAACAAAAAAAAAGGTAGCAATGGAAACTGCGTGCGCGGGAAAAAGTCTCAAAAAGCCTGGAGGCCTAGACACCGGGACCACATGAGTTGCGCATATTCATCTATATCCCCCTTTGTAACAGTCGAGGCCATCTTGATCCAATCCACAATCTCCGTATCGGGTGCTGGGTACGCTCCGGAAATTCATCGGATGGCTTTTCCTCCATGATCAAGGGTTGATGATGAGTAGGACCTCGACCACAACATCTGGTCAGATCGTGGTTATCTTCATGACAATGGTGATAGGGGAATGTGCTTAGGGATGAAGAAGATACCGACCGCGAAAGCGATTGGGAATCCTCGTCGAAGTGAGGACTTTGTTACTTAATCTCGGCTCTGCAGACTCTACACTGAGGGCTGGAGGTTCGTAGTGGACACCACTAATAGGTGCTGTCGATAGTCCCCCACAGAAGTGGTGTGTGCAATGGTTATTCCGAACCTTGTACGGGGGTACTATGATCCGGATCTTCTGGATCCACGGACATATCACCTCCGTGTACTCGGGTCACGAGGTAGTAGGTAGGGGTCGCGCCAGGACTAAGATCTACGTTTGTTCTTCCAATGTTGTGTTGTCAGAAGGTTTCATGTAATCCTGTCCCTGGCGAATTTTTGGATTGAATGAATGGAAGAATTTACACCTAGCTCAACGAAATCTCGAGGCATTCTATGTTGAAAGCGTATAGGCGTGCTTGGAGTTCAGGGTCTATCGTAAGCTATTTCGCAACTCACACACGTGAACGCGCATCACTTCGCCTGCATCCGCCATGCGTCAATGATGCAGGTGCTTGACTGTCTATGTTGATTTTTGCCCCTCCATGGCTACCAAAGGAGATCATCTGACAACTACATCACTCTATTTGTGCTACAAACATTTGTTGGTTTCGAGAAACCATTAATCCCAAAAATTCTTCGCCGTTTCGCCCTCCAGACCGTCTCGGTCATCTCCATCGTGCTAAAGTAACAAAGTAGAAAACCTATCTCCCCATTTTGTTACCAAGTAATTAGACCCGGACTAGATAATAGCCGAATAACAGTCATTTCTCCTACCCTCCACACCAAATAATTAAAAGAAATCTAGCCACTGCAGCTTGTTTTAAGAGCGCTGGCTGACATCATGAACGGATCAATTGTTTACAAGCTGTATCGTTTTTCCGATACCATACGATTAAGGAGCTGGAATGGGAATGACGAGTTTATCTCTCCTATAGCTCATCCAGTGCCTATTGAATTATTATTACATTGAATAAATTAAATTTGCGCAAGGCTGTAGAAAATTTGTGTGGGCGAATGCCTTGGTCAGCGCACAAGATTCCGGATCGGATTGGGCCAAAATGGACCCTGAAGAAAAGATCACATATTCCTCATGATGCTGTAAGGACATAAAGTGATAGGAAGCTAATGGCAATAGAAGTTTTCCAGATACTTGTTGGGTTCACCTGCGATCCACCGCTACTGGGCTTTTTTCCTTGCGAGAAAGAAGGAGTCGATGAGTCACTAGGTTTATCGGTCCCTGAGTCGTCTGAGTCGGGGGATGTATTGCCAAGGTTGTGGTTATCAACTCCGGGATTTCCTCCTGACATGCCCGGGATTGTCTCTATAGTTTTTGCTGCGGCAGGGGCCGAACTAGTTCCAGCCGGAGCTCCGACTGGAGCCCCTGCTTTAGGATCCAGTCCGGTTGCCATAAATGACTGAAGAATGGTGCTTTTGTCACCGTCGACTACCGTATCGTTGGTACTTCTTGCGTCGCTATATGTATATGATATGCCCTTATTCGTACCGGGTCCTGAATCAGCGTTGAAACAAGTTATTTCAATCGATTCAAAGGCTGCATAGTAATAATTATTATTTTTGATGTCAGCCGAGTTCCAATCGACTAATCCACCGGCCCAAGCGATAGTTCCTTTTCCGTTTGTAGGAAGGCCAGCGGGCCATAGAGAGAGTTGAATCCGCGATGGAGTTTGAGGGTATGACCATTGATTTGCTGTTGCATTCCAAGTGTCGATGCGCTTCTTTGTTCGGCCCACCTGACCATCCACACTCCAGGTAATTTCATCGGGAGTCCAGTTGATTTCGTAAGTGTGATAGTTTACAAAGGTATCAGATAATGGTATATTGGCTGAATTATGATCTGAGATTTATCAGTCGAGAAGAAGCCCATGTTTGTGAGGAAACTTACAATTAGTAACGCCTTTTGAATAATAATTAGACTGAGCGGTTACTAGGTCGGCCCCGACAAACTCAAAGTCAATCTCATCCTTGACGTCTGAAAGCAGTATGAAGGCAGTAACAACTCCAGCGCCTCTAGAAGTTTTAAACCTAGCTTTTACGTTGCCGTACCACATGTACGTGGTGCTCGCCAGTAGAGTGCCCACAGTGTCTGGCGACATAGTCAACAAGACATTATCATTGTGGAAGACAGGTTGTCCACTTGAAACCCAATCAGCGGTAGATGGATCGCCAAGATATTTTGTATTTGGTAAAATGGTTGACAACTTGGAATCGAAGGTATGCTTCTTGCTCTGACAGACCGGTGCTGGCGTACAGGAATTGAGCGAGAAAGAGGAAATTGGATCACATCCCCCAAGACAATAAGCACCAACTCCACACTGGCCGTACTCTTTCGATCCCATAGTCAGCGAACTTATCACATTGCGACTCAATTGAGTAGGAACTTACGTGAACAACATGGCGCTGATTCGGGACAATGGCTGCTCTCAGAACAGCTTTGAGTGAGTACTGTGGAGGTACTGGCCAAAATTGCCAGTATAACTGAAGAACGAACCATCTTTCTAGCAGTGAAAGACTGAGCAGCCTCCGAATCTGTCAACTCACGGTCCTAGACTGCCGCGCACTCCACGGGTGAATTGATGAGAGAAAGATTTAGATGAATGCAGGGTCAGATGCAGTGCGAGGTGAGATTTAGACGTTGACGGTATGGGGAATACTACAGCAGTTGTGGCCACAGTTTCAATGCAATGTGAGACGAACGGGTTTGGATGGTCAAAGAATGAAGGGGCGGAAGGCGGCTTGTATACTTTGTTTATCCCTGGCGCCCCGCGGACCAAGCCGTACGGCTGATGATAGCCACAAAGCCAACGGCGCAATGGCCGCCATATCGACTGATGGATGGGATTAATATGCGAGGGTTGATTTGGGCAGAAGAAGGCAGTTGGCAAGAAGGTGGATCTTCGTAGAATCCTCCGAGCGCCGATTCTTCGATAAGGATGACAGGGCAGTTGGATTCGGGAGCCTGGCAGTCGAACAAACGCGAAACGTACCAGGAAGCCGTCAGGGTACCCATGGCGTGTCACTTGATCTTACAATTTCCCCTGTCACGCTTGGACCTATAGTTTGCTAGCATAGGGGGGCGACGCGCGTCGGATGCATCGACCGTCTTTATGCTGCGTCGGGTTATTTTCCTCACCAACGTCTTTACACCGTGGCAAATACTCATTCAGAAGAGTATCTCCTTGCCGCGCGCAAGCAAGCTAAACTCGCCGGACTCAAGCAATCCGGACTAATCAGTGCCCTGGCAAACGCGTCCAAGCTTATGCTCGCCGTCACATCTGAGAAAGCTCCGAGTACTGGCACCCTGGAGACATGTGCGAGTCGAAGCTTTAGGTAACGAGATGGGGGAATTCTGAGTGAGTCTTGCATCATACCAACTCTCCTGAGTGGTTTGAAGGTATTGTCGCTTTTATGGCTGATCAGACTAAAGCTCTGAACTCACCGGACCAAAATACTGGCACATTACCCGCTAGCTCTGCCAACATAACATCTCCTGCTTACCACGCTCTCCGCAAATTTGCTAGAGGCTCGCGATCTTTACCCGACTGATATTTTAGCCTGACCTCGGATGAACCGTTTGGCATGGGTTACGGGGGAGTACCAAGGACGTTTAAGTCCTCTGCCACAACTGGAGTTACCATTAGGGTGATGATGTGCATCGACGACGATAACCCTGCCCACTGCAGGCTGCAAAGCTAGTAACAGGCTCAACTGACAGCGGCAGTAGCCACTCCTCTTCGAGACTTCCTATCAGATGATCTCGCGGGAGCGCTGTTACCGGCATCGAATTCGAGCACTCACTGTGGTCCATACTTATTGATTATATGAACCTCTTCGCCGCTGGACGAGCTGGAGGGGCGCTAGTGAAGAAATTAGAGTGGAGTTGTATGAAGTCACAGGATATGGCATAAAGGACTCGAGTCACGCAGTGCGCCGAAGGCTCCGAACCCCTCTAAGTCGACGAGTGTTAGGCCAGTATAGTTCCATCCTCTCGAAATCCCTTCGCGTTGCTACGCTGTATCCACGCCTGGACCCCTTGATACCCCACAGCCTATTTCTCTGTGCCTCACTGCACTCCAACAAGCCCAGAAATGGTCGCCGCATCCGAGCCACCTAGTTAAGGTCACATTATCGCCGGTTACTATAAGTAGCCAGGGTATCGACTAATTATTGGCGAGATAGCCACAGCAAGCCAAGTCTCTTGGCCACGCAAACTACTCCCTTCGCATTCCGATTTGGAAAGGTATGTGGCATTTTATCGTGCAAGCCACCTATTCCTTCGCAAACGGGAAATAGCTCGATAGAATTGAGATCTGTTCCCTTGGTAGGCCATGTTTCTGTGGTCACAAGATGAATGCCGGCGTGTGGAGGTGGTACGAAAGGCATGGAGGTCTATTCAGCGGGAGAAGATTATTGAGCAAGGGATTCGAGTAAACGGAAACCGTCACCTGAAGTAATCACTAGTATGCCATTCACCCTCTTACCAATCAATTGGAAGAGGCCTCTATCCCGCATCATGTTATGCTACATGAGAACCAAGGGGCGTCGATCAAATGAGGACTCGTGAGGCATTACACTACCTGAAACAACGTTATCCTTGCCTGGTCGGCTAGAAGGATCACTATCCAATAAATACTCAGATTTAGAAAAGACAAACTCTTGAATCAACCAATCATTTCGAGCGCATCGAGCTACACGCTGCCTGATCTGTGTGAATAATATTGATGGATTTACATAGCTGTCGTTGTGAATCAGCAGTCCTTTTTCTGTAGCATCTTAGTTGTAGCTCCTGGAGGGCAAGACTGAACACCTGTACGCGGTGTCCTCTACGAACCTGGGAGTGAAATATTCTCCCAGAGCCAAGTTCAGTCAAACTTCGCAATACCGAACAAGTTGGCCCACGAGGCAATGATTCAAATTACTCCACCATATCAATCTTTCACTCCCAACGAAATCGATTCCTACCTAAACCTCATCAAGTTTACAAGTACGACCTAGTACATCCTAATCCCAATGACCACACCTCTTGTCGACTTTCTCTGGCCTTAGCTGGTCGCCAGATACACGCCCACGCCGATATTTACACCCGACGGAGGAAGCAAAGCGTGGCGCACAAATCTGGAAGACAATTCCTTGGGATGGATGTGAGAGGGATCAGGACAAGTTAATAAGATGATGCAGAGGATTGGATACAGTCTCGACGGGCGTGGAATTTTGAAATCTGGAAAGGAGTTTTTACAAATTGAGCTTTGTGCGTACCAAGTCTTCGGCTGCGAGAGTGCAGGCGACACTATAAAAACTGCCATGGTTGGATGGTGCGGTGGTACATCATCTTGGCCGGTCTGCCAAGTAGAGTCTGGATAGCTTGGACACATATCCCACTTGAGACAGTAGATCGCTGGTTCGAATCCGGCAAAACACAACCACATTTCTCGCGGCGCTGGTATGCATGGATGACGAAGGCATGCTTGGATAACTAAAGGTTTTTAAATTCCCTTTGGTGGGTACTAACGGAGGAGGGTCGACTGTTTGTGTAAGCAAACATACCTCATAGTGGTATTTGCAAATGAAATCCAGAGTATGAGTGTCTCTAATGTCAAAAGAGTCATCCAATATGTATACATAGCACCGGTCATGTGTCATAGCTAGATAGCTGAATACACATTAAATGATTCAAAAAAAAAAAAAAAAAAAAAAAGTTGTAGCTCCTCATTTCCGCCATTCCTTTGCATCACCGCATCGTACTGCGGTCTTTTGTCTTTCGAGATATGACCCAGTAATAAGACGTTTAAGCTTCGCGAACCTTTCGATCGCGAGGCTCTATGTCTCCTGGTGGCTCTGAACAGTCACAACTTGTAGTTTATCGTGCTACTTGAGTCTATGACTATCTAGCACATTGGGCTCCTCTCTGACCCAGGCCACACCTTGTACAGTGCTCCTATCCTCTTTTGTTACTTGAAAGATCATTGATATATTCCCCTTGATGAATAGCCATTCAGCTCAGTGTTTACCCGTGGAATTCAGCCACCTTTTCCACGGAACCTTCTACCCAAAAAAAATAAAAATGGTAGCAATGGAAACTGCGTGCGCGGGAAAAAGTCTCAAAAAACCTGCAGCCCCAGCCAGGCGAGGCCTAGACACCGGGACCACATGAGGTGCGCATATTCATCTATATCTCCCTTCTTTGTAACAGTCGAGGTCGACTTGATCCAATCCGCCATCTCCGTATCGGGTGCTGGGTACGCTCCGGAAACTCATCGGATGGCTTTTCCTCCATGATCAAGGGTGGGTGACGAGTAGAGCTCCGACCCTACCATCTGATCTGATCGTGGTTAGCTTCATGATAATGGTGATAGAGGAATGTGTTGAGAGATGAAGACGATACAGACCGCGAAAGCGATTGGGAATCCTCTTCGAAGTGAGGACTTTGTTACTCAATCTCGGCTCTGCAGACTCTACAGTGAGAGCTGGAGGTTCGTAGGGGACACCACTGACAGGTGTTGAGAATAGTCCCCCGACATGTCAGGGTAGTCAAGGTGCTCCCAGTGGTAGGTAGCCAAGACCGAAAGTGTTAGTTCAATACGGTACACGCGCGTAAACAAAATTCAATGAAATAGATTCAATTAAACACAACAGCATCTACGTATAATTCTTTCTGTCTACCCATTCTCACCTTTTGGTGTCATGAAAGAATGCCAAGAGATTAATACGTAAGTTGCACTACTGTTACAATGGCTTAATACACATTCCACTAATTATTAGAGTGCACGCGACTACTGTTCCAACAGAAAGTCCTCAAAGTCCAGGACGCGGCCAAAGAATGCAGTCCAATAATTGTAGTGACTATCTATTTATTCACCCGTTGTACTAGAAAGTCGGCAGAGAAGTCGCCTCCACACGGCTTACACTCTATCAGGGCCGTGACAATTCAAGACTTGAAGCCATGATTACTGAAATATCTACACCCACGATTATCCACCTTGTTACTCGTCGAGTGATTTCCGAATTGGCCACAGGATTGACTCATAAATTTAAAGGTGGCAAGCTGCGTGTAACCTCACGCTTTTTGTGTATAGACTGGCATGAGGCGATACAATATCAAGTCCCTCTCCAACCGATTCTGGAAGGGTAAGTTTGTAATGGTTTCAGGGTAAGAACTCTGTTCCCTTGAATCCCTGGCTCTGCCGTCCCCAGTAGCCGAGACACAGCCTAGCATCCGCTCAATACTCGTAAGTATGCTGGCGACCGCCCTTCCATCGCAGAGCCACGTCTCTTCTTGGTTGAGGCCAGTTGCCGGACTACCAAGAACCTGCCGAGAAGAACAGCCCAGTACCTGCATCACTGTATGGAGCGGCTTAAAATGGGGTGTATGCGATTCTCTTTTGCCTCAGCTCCGACTGTGATGCATCCTGCTCTTCTGGCTGCTGAGACCTACATGGCCCTGATGGGGCTCGCGCTTGGATGGCCACGGACAAGAAGAGGAAGAGAAATATATTT